CTCAGTCCGGAAGAATTTGAATTTTTTTTTTTTTTATCAGCAATTTTCATTGGAAATGTTTCGGAAAATTCGTCGGAAATATTTCCAGTAATTTTTTTTACGTTGGTACTTTTTTTTCAACGCGTATTTTACCGACAAAAAAAAAAATTCCGCTAGAAAGCTATTTTCCGTCAGATATGACTGTCAGAAATGAGCATTTTTTCAATAGTGTTCAAATCATTATCATTTAACTACTCTGACGCTTATGGACCTCATTACCTAACTTCCCTAATAAAATAAATGTTATACCATCACTTATAAGATCAATGCAATTCGTCAATCTGAAGTGTGACTCCCAATTTCAACACCAGGATTTATGATAGATTTCTTTGCTTATGATCTTCTCTTATAGAACTACGGCCAAAATAACGAGCAAATGATCTACTAAAGACAACTTCCATGTTACATAGGTCGTCCAACTTCAACCACAAAATATATTCTTTGTATTGTATCAATATCTTCCATTGAGGTATGGCATCATTTTTAATCAATGGTAAATAGAATCATTTTAATATATTAAAAGTGATACGATCTTACAATGGGAATATAAAATTCTTAATTTTTAGTTCTGTTTATATATTTTTAAAATGTTAGTTCTTACTATTCTAGATTTAAATAGAATCCTAAATGAATAAAGGGGCTGCCATTTTTTTTTTTAAGGCTGATAAATTGATGGATCTTCATCACAAAAAATTACATGTGGAGTTTGGAGGCCATCCGGACTCCAATAAGGTCCGAATGGCATTCAGACTCCACACGTAATAATTCTCCTTTGAATGTGACAAATTGCACTTAAGACCTGATCCGTGACTATCACGCCTCTTGTAACCACCGAAGCACTCTGTAAATTTTTCTTTTATTTAAAATTTTCATTTTTAATGAACATTTTACAATCAGGCACAAATATATGAAGGGAAATTTACATACATACAACTTTATAACATCCTATTTACATATATAACACCCAAAACTTTAATATTACATGCATACCACCACATATTATTTTAATATCAAATATATCACTCATATTTCTTTCCTACCACTCATATTTCTTTCCTACCACTCCAACGTCAGGTGGTGGTCCGGCAGTGACATTGGACTTTTGCAAAACTTTCGGCTGACAATTGTAATCTGGTCGTCTTTAAGGACGAGTCAAGCCATTGTATTTTGCTCAAATTCTAGCATAATCATTTTCAACTAGGCTAGGCCCCGTGATTTTTCCCGTTTCCCGATTTTTACACGCAAAAAATATTGTGTTATCTGTGTGTGAGTTGGATATCCGTGTAACGCTAAGACATAGAATTATAACTCTATCGCCGCGTATATTCTAGCCCGCAACAATAATACAAATTATTCATATGCAATACTATTCCTAAAATAAACTATCTTTTGCGACTAAAAAAAGTGTTAACTTCAGGAACATTATGATGCTCAATCACATCATGTGATTAAATTCATAGTAAAAATTCTAATCAAATTAAATTCAAATAAGATCAAAACTCAGCTTGGCCCATCTCACCAATAGATCAATTTATAAGAGTTAAGACCTACAAATTCCATCTTTAAGCATTTCTCAAATTAGAACTATAAGCCCTGATTACAGGCAACTCAAGAAAATGGAGTAAGAAGCCTTGAACTCTAAATCCATTTATTTCTGAACACCTCTAATATCGAAGGCATATAAAGTCAAGAGTTGGAGCTCCCTAAACACTTCTAGAGTGGTAAGTCCGGCCAATATATTAAAGCACACACAAGAACTACAAGCCTCATAAATAATTTGTTTCCCTCATACTCACTTTTTTTCTCTGTATGATCCACTCCATTAATTGTGTTGAACCAACAGCTAAAACCACTGATTTTATACCTTGTCATACCCAATGTTCTGCAAAGCTTTATTCAAAATCAAAAGAAATTGATCTTTTACATGACAAACTACTTTTTTTGGGAATGAGATATCTACCTGCTGCAACTCCAAAGGGAGCGTTTGACAACGTAACTAATCCCTTAACGGAACCTAGCAAGACCACCCACCGGCATCAGGCTCACACTTACTTTGCCCCACCAAAGAGACGAGGCCGTAGTAGGGGGTTCAAATCCGGGATGGGAGGTTCCCAACCGTGTTCGCTCACCAACCACCGTAAGCATCCGTGAATATGACAAAGTACTTCAATACTATAGTTACCAGTAATCGGAACAAGTGCATGTCCCATCCTTGAACCGGTGGAAGCGATTCCGATCTCTAACAATGATCTCTCTGCAAAAGATCTCAGAAATCAGCTTCATTGCAGCGTGGCAGTCGCAACATATGCGGAGGTTCTTAAAAATACGAAGCGGCATTCCAGGTTTGGTGCTAATAAGACCGAATGCGACGGCAAGTCTCTCACTATGAGACAGCAGCGCCTGCTCTCGCTCTTCTCTTTCTTCTCCATCCTCCAAGCAATCATGCATGGAATGCGGCACTTGAGAAGCTACATTTGGGCAGTATCCGGCCGAACGCAAGCGCCATGCAATCTCATCCAATTTAGTGTACAGTTCCATCGTTTGAGGGTGCGATTTATCTCCCGCACTGAATCGGTGCGCAATTCCATTGATTTCAATATAGCTCATGCCAGGTCCTTTCTTTTCTTCGCTCTTCCTTATCTGCCTGCGTAGCTCTTCGGCATCCCCATGCCGCCCGCGGGATGAGTACATGTTAGAGAGAAGAACATGGTATTCTGTGTTTTTTGGGTTCATATCCATGAGCTCCTGCAAGAGCTTTTTTCCTAATTTGAGCTTCCCATGGAGGCTGCAGGAAGCCAAGAGAGAACCAAGAACGACTTCGTTGGGGCGTACTGGCATTTCTCGAATCAAAGTTTCTGCTTCCTTCAAGTGGCCCGCACGGCCCAAGAGATCAACCATGCAAGCGTAGTGTTCAACCTTAGGCGTTAAGCCATAGACTTGTTTCATCTCAAGGAAAAACTGGCGGCCTCGCTGTACCATTCCTGCGCGACTGAGGGCACTGAGCACACTTACAAATGTGATATCATCTGGCTGTAGTCCTTCCTCCACCATTGTAGAGAAAAGACTCAGTGCCTCAGCACACATTCCATGCATTGAGAGCCCGTTTAGTATTGCATTCCAACTGATCAAGTTTCTTGCAGGCATCACGTTGAACAGCGCAATGGCGGCATCAATCCGCCCGCACTTTGCGTACATATCGATTAGAGCGGTGTTGACAATGAGAAGATGGTTGTCGTTCAAAAGATTTGATTTCAGAGCCGTTGCATGGATCCAACGGCCGACGGTGAGATCGCCGGCTTGGGAGCATGCAGAAAGGAGGGAGCATAGGCTTACGTGATTGAATCTTCTCATCAGGGAGTAGTCTTTGATGAATATCATGTTGCTCAGTACGAATAAAGCTTCTCGGGGTTGCCTTGCTTCCACAAAGGAAGCAGCCATGATGGTACACGAAACTTCATTTCTCTCAGGCATTTGATCGAACACCTCGCGCCCGCTGCGGATTCCCTCGATACGAAGGGAGCCTTCTAGGATAACGGTCCATGATACAACATTTGGACTTGGCATCTCGCCAAAGAGTCGCCGGGCTTCCAGCATTAGTCCGCATTTGGTGTACATGTTCATAGCGGCGTTGCAAGCGGAGACAGTGAATGGAAGGCCGAGCTTGAGGAGAAAAAGGTGTGCGGAGGCGCCGATGATGGGGTAAGAAAGACAAGCAGCAGCGGATAACACAGAAAGGAGGGTGACCTCGTCGGGGTTCAGGCCGTCACGACACATGGCTCGGAAGAGAAGTAGAGCGCGGGCAGGGAACGCATTGCGAGCGTAGCAGGAGATAAGTGCGGTCCAATCGACGTTAGAACGAGTTCGCCTTGGAATATCTTGGAAGGCTATGAGGGCTGAGGATGGTGGACCGAGGGCAGTGTACATGTGGAACAGGGCGCTGGAGATGTTCGATGAAATGGCTGAGAGGAGAATTCCTGCTTTGAGGAGGGCAGCGTGAAGGCTTCGCCCTAGGGCTGGAGGGGCATGGCCAATGGCGCATAATCGAAGGAGAGAACGGTAGTGAAGATAAGAGATCTCGGACGGCAATGATGGTGCTGTGAAGCTGTTGAGAGGCGCATCTTTCATCATCTAATTGCTTCACGTTTGTGGAGAGACTCTTCCGAATGCGACTGGTAAGCATTTCAGCAGCGGTTCTCACCAAGCTTGTTTATTTTTTCAAATATAAATGCTTTGCAGTTTGCAGACCCTTATTGGATTATCATCACATGAGCAAATTTGATGTAGGAACATCTTAACTAAATCCAGCTTTAGGAATATGTTATCTAAGTTTGTTATTATTGACTTCTAGAATGTTCTTTTAGCTTCATAAATATGCAAGTATTGTAGTAGTAATGATATTGAATGATGAATATTATATGAATTGAAGCTTAGTGCTTCGTTTGCTCTCTTATTCTTGAAAAATCCTTCAAGCATCCTCTTCTTCCAACGATTCGCCCCCACAAGATCCAACGATTCGTTCCAACATCAGTTGGTATCAAAGCCCGAAGCTTGCTAAGAATGATGGACTGTAGAAGAAGGTGGACTATCGACGACGACCGCCAACGATCAACGTCGAATAAGAACGGTGGTCGATGAAGATCGACGTCGAAGGAGATGGGCGATCGACGACTATCTTTGTCGAAGGAGATGTGCAGTAAACAATGATCGACGTCGAAGGAGATGGGCGATCGATTATGAAGAAGACAACTATCATTCACTCCAACTTCCACTCAAATGGTGAGATCCGCTGCCCCACTATCCTCCGCTTGAGCGACTCAAATGGCTGAATCCCCTACCCGACCATTTAGTCCATAATCAACCAGCGGCCTTCGTCCATGACTCGCCTCCGCTCCGGCCCCATTCCGTCACCCATGATCCTGCCTCCGCTTCGTCTCACGACCACACTCGCGATCCGGACCCCCTCCTACAAGATTTTGCCGTTGTCACTCCGCCATTGTAGCTCACTCCCAATCAAGCTGTTCTGATGTCGCTCCTCCGCTCCTCCAATGTGCCCGCGCCTTCACACCCTTCTTCCACTTGTATCCCGCTTCCATCACTCACACAACCTCCTCTGCTTCCGAAGACGACCGTGCCTAAATCAAGCCCGTTAACTCCCGCGCTCCAACGCGATTTCAGGCTCAACGCTCTACTCTCACTCTCGCTCTGCTGCAGCGATTCAACGCCAGACCTAGCCCTACATTCCACCTTTTTTAAGGAAGAAGCTTAAGAAGTCGAAGATGGTGTGGATAAGCTTGACCGAGCAGTGGCTCACTTGCCCGATTCACTGAGAACAAAGACAGGGAAGAAGAGGGAGTTCGGTATAGACAGAGAACCCGAAAGAGATAAAAGAATTGTCTTATTGAAATTGAAGATGTTACAGTACATATATATAGACATAGCCTGTGGTAAAGCTGCAATTAAATGTAACGGTCACAAATACTACTCTTATTATGCTATTATTCACCACCAACAACCAAAGGATCAAAACAAGCAGAGAGGGAAGGAAACGCGATCACAACTTTTGGAGATTCTGAAATGTCTACAACACTCCCTAACAATAATCTAATGCATGTATCAGATGTCTCAGAATCATCTAACCTTCAACCTGAAGTTTCGGAGGCCAATACAAGGATTATCTTCAGCACTAGTGTGGCCGAGGCTAGCGAACTCTTGATCGAAAGAGGAACCATTGTTTGCAGTGAAGAACAATTCGCCGAACCTCATCCGCCTCCCACACACACAAACTCCGATTCAGCTAAGGTATTCCAGAGCAAATTTGAGCTGAAGAAAACTTATCTGATGTTTGGCGTCATCACAGGAGTTGAGGAAAACTTCTCTAATTATGGATACTTTTGTGGAATTTCTCAGTCACGTTTATTTGAGAAGGAATATTCCAACATTGCTAAATTCAATTTTCAATTTCTAGATGAAAATGCTCAAAAGCTTTCATGAGAGATGATTAACTGCCAATCAGATGAGATCAACTTGGGAGATGAATAAAAAAATATACAGAAAGAGCTACAGGAGGTATCCAAGGCTTCTGAGAAATATGAAATCCCAAAAGGCTTTGAAAAGTGTGGGAAAAGTAATCGGATATTGCTTCCAAAATATGAACTCCCAAAATGCACTTCAGATGAATGTCCATTTGGCTACATATGCAAAAATTCAGCAAACATTGAAGCAATTGGTCACCGTACCTGCATCACTTGTAGCTTACATTGAAGACTATAAAGAAAGGGCAAGAGATGATATACTACGTTATATTACAACGGGTGAAATCCTTCATCCTGAGAAGGTATGGCCTCATAAATTATTATCAGAAATTATATTTTGTGAGAGCAAATCATGTTGCGATGGTATTTTTAGAAGGAATGCTTCTTTGCCTTCACTTCGTGGGGATGAATTTAGTTATGCTAAGGGATTCCTTGTTGATGAGAGCCCAATATTACCCTTGTTGTTATCTGTATGGAGGAAGAATGGTGATTTCACAAATCATCGAAGCGGGATGTGTGAGAATGAAGTAGATGAGTGTTTGTTGACTTGGCAGCTAACAACGGAAAGCTTGGAAGGCAATATGAAGCTGTAGAAACAAATCAACTAAACCGCTCCCAGAAGTTGCTTTACGTAATGAGGAACGATGGATTTGAGCCTATCATCTTAACTTGGAATGGATTAATTGCTGGTTGCACGGCGAATGGGCACAATAAATTTGTTCTAGAAATGTTACTTGAACACCAAATTACTGGTTTGAATCCTGATACATATACTAGAGGGATGATCATTCCAGTTTGTTCTAGATTGGCATCCTTTGAACAAGGAAAACAGGCTCATTCTTATGCAATTTGTTGTGGAATTTACGCTGATGTTCATATTGGGTCAGCACTTATTGACAGTACTTTACTTGCATGATATGCTAATTCACAAAGATGCAAAATTTTCAACCCCGGTGGATTGTTTAGGTTTTCTACATCTACCTCCCTACCAATGAAAAGCTTCGACGAATTCAAGCTCTTTTGACACAAGGGGATTATGATGTAGGAACATCTGAACTAAATGCAGCTTTAGGAATATGTTATCTAAGTTTGTTATTACTAGCTTCTAGAATGTTCTTTTAGCTTTATAAATATGCAAGTATTGTAGTAGGAAGGACATTCAATGATGAATATTATAAGATTTGAAGCTTTGTGCTCGGTTTTCTCTCTTGTTCTTGAAAAATCCTTCAAGCATCATCTTCTTCCAATGATTCATCCCCACATCAAAATTTATCAACATTCAAATCTCATTTGGTATTTTGACCTTTCATAGTAGGCTATTTGTATTTTCTTTTGGGTAGGGTAATTTTATTTTTGTTGTTGTTACTTTCAATTTCCTTTTAATTTATTGTTATTTCTATTTTGTTTATGCACTCTCATTTTGATTTATAGTAATTGAATGAAATCCTATATATATCACTCGCAGAGCAAATTATTGCATCTGGTCTCCGGATTCATCCGGACACCAATCCGGACACGACACGTCAGCAAAATATATTGGGACCCGATGTATTTGGGTGACGTGGTGCATCTGTATTGGTTGTCCGGACGTCAGGTGACCGGACACAATAATTCGCCCACTCGCAGGTCTAATAATGTTCCTAAAAAAATTCATTAAGTAAAAGGCCTCCCACCGCAAAGCCACTATTTATAAAAGCTGAGAAAAAAGTGGCGTTACATCAATTAATATTACTATCAAGGCTATAGTAAACAGGACAACAATTCTGCATTACTTTCTCATTAACTGTTTAATAGCCCTATCAAATACACATTATTTTCATTCACTTATCCTTTTCATCACTTTCTCATCACAATATTTATAATTTTCTCCAATATCCTCGAATTTTTTTCTCCTTTAATTTCTTATAAAAAAGCAATACTTATTTTTCTTAGCATCATAGTATCCAATAATTCTCCTGCCTTCCCATTTGTAGTTCTCAAATTTCATGTGAAACTGAGATTGTAACCGAAGCCCATTGGTACCAGAAATTGTATCTGCGCCTATAACTAACTTAGCCATCTTAACTAAAGCTTCATCCCTCTATTCTTCATTTGGAATAAACTTTCAGAAGTTGATTCCTTTTATTGGCAAAAAATTATAAAAATTGGCAGAAGACAAAGCACAACTACAATGAATACAACTGATGTGCAGAAATATAGTATAGAACATACAACAGCACGTTAAATTACGAAAGTATTTATTTGCGAAGTATTTTCATAGATTTATTTAGATTTTATTTGGGACAACTTTCTTATTACTTTCTAAAGTAGCTTTTTGGTACTAAAAAATTATTTTAAAAAACAATAAGAAAGCTGTCCCAAACGAAGCTTTAATCAAACAGACGTAAAAAAGTTTACAGGGTTTTTTTTTAAGTAATGCAACATTTCTCTGAATATGTTTTATGATTACAAACGATATAATCCAAGTTTATGGCAGAAGAACAAATCTCCACGTATAATATTTATCAGCACTTCAGTTTTGTAAACTGCACTACCTGCATAAAGCACGAAGATGAAGCTCTCCATCAATTTGGAGGGTTAACATGGACCTGTAATTGACAATTTGGTCGGCTGAAATCTCAAATTTGAAGTAGTACAGGAGAGTTGCAGCAAAAATCTTCATCTGCCTATAAGCAAAATCTTTTCCCAAACAGATGCGAGGTCCAGCCTTGCAAGAAGAAATGAAATTATCAATTCAGAATATTGCATAAATATCATTTCAATTCATGCATGCATGCTTATACTCTTATTATAGCTACTTAAAGCTTTTATTATTGCACTAAAAACCTATCAGATCTCAAAAAAATTTCTATCTCCGAAGCCATTTTTAGTCCAATCATACATGTAAATCAATTATATATATATAATATGTGTTTCAAACCTATCTTGAGCTAGAAATTGTTCCATTTTTCTAGAATCTACATGCACGCCCAGCATCCTCGTGGTCTTATGAAATGCTAACGCTGGTAATAGTCTTGGCCATAAAAAAGTATTTTGCCCGATATAAACTCATATTTAATGTGCATTCTATTGCTATCTATGGATATTCAGTCATAAGTTGATCATGTGGTCTAGCATATTGTGCCTTATATCATAGTTCTGTGTCAGAACATGTATATGGGTAGAGAGAGAGATTAACATCCAAGCTTTGTACAAAGGTCTATCATACACATAGATAAGAGAGTAATTGCAAGAATTGCAAAAGTTATGAGAGGCGTCCTTAAGGCTTCCTAGTTGAAATTAAATGATTACAACAATATTTGTCATCAGTTACATATGATGCCCTTCCCATTAATTATAGAAAGTGTTGATACAATATGATTAATATAAACTATATAGAATGTAGAGAGAGAGATTAACATCCAAGCTTTGTACA